TCAACTCCCAGAATTCCCCAGCCAGCATGGCTGGCTGGGGAATTCTGGGAGTTGAAGTCCACCCATGCTGGTTGGGGAATTCTGGAAGTTGGAGTCCACCCATCTTAAAGGCGCCAAGTTTGAAAAACACCAGCGAAGTGCTTAATATATAGCATATAGAACAACATATAGCATATAAATTGTTTAGTATGTGTATACAGGGCATTTTTAGGGAGAGGAGGGCTGTGCTTCAAGTCAGTCTTGACTTTTGGCCCTGTAATCTTCCTGGCAAAGTTTCAGATGTGGTTTGCCCGTGCCTCCTCCTTCCTAGAGCCAAAGGAGAGTGACTAGCCCAAAGTCACCCAGTTGGCTTCCACGGCAGAACTCACAATCTACAGCTACCAGTAGACAAAGCGAGAGATTAGTCTAGCTTAGTAGCAGTAGATTCCATGCACGCATGTGTGTGTGTCCATGTATGCTCTATTTATGTTTAAGGACAGCTTGTGGGCAGCCTTTAAACCATCTCTCCCAAACCCACCTCCGTTAGGAGCTCTCCAAAGCGCCAGAAGAAAAGGAGAACCAGTGCTAAGAAAGCCACGCAGGAGCCTCAGAAACCCCGCCCGTCCCAGAGCCACGCAGAGGAGCCCACCCGAGGTCCCAACCATGACCCAGAGTTTGCAAGACACCGTAGAAAACTTCAAGAGCGCCATGGAGGAAATGCAGAAGAAGGTCGTCGCCATGCGGGAGCGGACGGAGGAAGCCTACAAGAAGCTCAACCAGCTGGAGGTCCTGAAATACTCTTTGATCGACTCCAACAACCAGCTCAACAAGGAGTTGCGGAAGCTCTCCCAAGAAGTGGCCCTCTTTGAGGACCAAAACGCCCTGGACAAAGGCCAGCAGACGCGCCAAAGGAAAGGCCCTTCTGTGCCCAGAAAAACGGGGAAGAAGAATGAAGGGGAGGAGACCCCCCAAGAAGTCCAGACCAAGGAGAAGCAATAATAAAAGGAGCAAAATGTGTTGGAGCGCCCACCCTTCTGCTTTGGGGGGTCTCCTCCAAAGAAAAGGCAGGGGAGGCTCTTGGGGGCTGCATCTTCCAGGGAGACACACCCACCCTGCAGTGTTGGCTCAGGCAAAGGTCAAGATGGCAGTTTGTGGATGATGGGACTGGGCCTTCTTTCAAACTGCGGAGGAGTGAATCAGGGAAGATGCGAGCAGGGCAGGAGGTGCCCCATGGGTCCTTCACTACCATGATTGCCGGAGGCAACCTCCATGCTTGAGCTCACACCGCACACTAAGCTAAACTGGGTTTGCTTAGCATGTGTGCAGCAGGTTATGCAGGTTCATGGTCAGTGTCTTGCGTACTCTAATTCAGCAAACCATGGTTACATTTGTAAACACAGGCTATGTTTTTTGAGCAAACATTGGGGGGCAAACAGCAGCCCCCAGGTTCCCTTCCAGCAGCCCATAGATCCCGCTCTGCCCCATCTAACCGGGGGCATCGGGTGTGTGTGTTAAAAAAGCCAAGATGGCACCTGTTCCTGCATGATTGAAGTCCCGACTCTTTTTTACATGCAGTGGGCATAAAAAAGAGGCAGGACTTCAACTGCAGGGTTGCACCCATCATTTTGACTTTTTTGACCCCCTGCGGACAACCCTGCCACTCTGTAATTGCTCAGAACTGAACAGTTTAATGGAACCTCCTTTGAAGGGAAATGGGGGTCCTTTTATTCAGCCATGGCCATTTCCTCAGGCCGAAGTGATTTATATCATTGGCATCATTCTCTGTCATATGCGTGATGGCATTGCTGCCCAACTGATGTCACTCACTGTAGAAATTGGGCCCGTCGCATGCAAAACCCGTTGCACCGGGGTCTGGTGGATCAAAGTCACCTCGATCTTTTGCCACGCCCATGAAAATTGAGTAGCACGCCTAGAGTAGGCATATCCCAGTTCAAAAAACAAAGCCAAATTGCACACTTTTACCCTAAAATAAGCAACCTGCCCCCATATGTGTGGTGGTCCCACTGCTTCACGGCCCTGAGCCCACCTCCAAAGGGTTTCGGTGGTCCTGAAGTTGAAGGGGATCCAAACTCAGCTTACTTTCTGAAAGCCCAGATCAATCCGGTTCTGTCTGTCGCATTCATGATTCAAGGACGGCTCAGGCTGGTGCCGTGTGGGACTACAACTCCCAACACACCAAGGCAAAGCCCCTGCCGAACAGGATGATGGTAGGGGCAGTGCCACGCTTCCAGCAATGCAACTCCACAACGCACCAAGGTGAACCTCACTACGACCTTGGAAATGAGAAACCAGAAGCAGCTGGATTTCCAACTCACGCATTTTAGGAAACCAGCTTTTGTGAGCTGCGGTTCACTTCATCAGATGCACGAAGGGTTTAAAGCCACTCTGTGCATCTGATGAAGCGAGCTGTAGTCACAAAAGCCCAGGCCTTTTAATAAAATTTGCATCCGATGAAGCCAGCAGCAACTCTCCAACGCTGGTGCCTTTTCCTAAAATGGGTGAGTTGGAAAAGGCGCTACCAGACTCTGCCTGATTCTTCACCACCGTAGGCCAACACAGCTCTCCTCCTACGATCTTGGAAGAGACTCTCCTTTGCCCCCCGACCTCACTTCAGCAACTTTGCAGAGCTGTTAGGAGGATCAAATGCAAATATAGAACAGGGGTACGTCGCCTTGGAGGAAAGGGAGAGTATAGCCCAACGTCAGCACCAACAAAACCATAAAAGTTTGTAACAAGTGTTGACAAAACACTTCCAAAAACCCTCCAAGAACAACAAAATATAAGGGTCAGTCACAATTACATGCAAATACAAGACAAACAAGCTATATTTGGAAATCTCCCCCTGCCCCAGGGCAAGAGCCGGACCAATCTATAGAAGGTGTTCCAATAGAAGAGAATCTCTGTAGCTCAGGGTTGGAGTCCTTGGTGCTCTCTGAGCTGGGTGGTTGGCTTGCAGGCATTTCGTGACCTGACTAGGTAACATCATCACATGGAGGGTGTGTATGAATCATATTTTAAAGTGCATGGAGGCTATATTTCCTGCCTCTTCCAGAATTCCCTTTCTGGCCTTTCCAGTGCTCAGTCTGGAGGACTTTTTTGATGGACACCTTCAGATTAACCAGTCCAGCAAAGCCTAATGGCTGTATTCCCACAACATGTCCAACCTGACTAGGGTTAACCTTAGTTCCTTGTCTTCCAGTTCAGTGAATGGTGTGAACCCACCCACTTGGGTTGCGTAGGATTCAAATTCTGGGAAAACCCAGAAAATTTATGTATTTATTATTTATTTATTGAAGCAATTTATATGGCGGCCCAACCCACTCACAGTGACTCCAGGCGGCTTACAGAAATAAGACCCCAAATACAAACCCACTACACCCTCCACCCCACCCGTGGTGACAGCAACACATTCAAACAAGCCACTTGATGGGTTCCTTATCAACCTGGGATCCCCATGCCTGCTGGCAAAACCATGTCAGGGCCAAAAATGGTGCCATCAAGGGAATCATCTTGGGTGAATGCAGCCAGGTTACTTTTTTTCTTCCAAGGTCCGATCCAGGCCAAATCAAAGCCATGGTTTGTGACATCACTTGCTCCTCCTAACCTCATTGGCTGGAGGGTTGCCATAGCAAGTGACAATATTTCCAGCATCATTTGTCCTTCTGGACCCCAGTGCTGGGAAACTCGACTCAAAACAGATGGATAACATGAAAAGCAACCGGGTTTAATGGCCAGCACTCTGGGTATTGCAGGAATATCCCCCATGTGGGCGCTCAGGTTGAAGGTGCTGAGACAGGGCTGACAATCCAAGCATTGGGAAGAAACAGATGCTTTCAGAAGGAACGGGCTGTCCCGTTAAGCCAGAATTAGGGGGCTAGCTTAGAAAAGAGGGGTTCGACGTCATTATGAGCCAGAGAAATGCTCGCACCCGCATCGACGGCAGCCTCCATCCACCATCCACCATGCCGAAGGTACGTGTCTCCTGTACGGATGTGCACCAAGAAAGATCTGCAAAAAGTAGGAGCCAAAACGTTGGCTTCAGAACGTCCCACCTGGAAGCGCATTTTGACCACAAAGGTAGACATTGACCTGGCTGGATGAATTGGGGAAATTAACCTAAAAGAGACTACGTCGGCCAGATATACTTCTGGATGCTGTGGCATGTTGGTTGAAACTGTCTTCCATTTCATGTCAAGCCCTGCTTCTAAGCTGCTGACACCTCCTTTTGATGGCAATTATTGTCAAAGGTCACTGTCGTACATTCACTAAAATCAAACCCAGAAGCTCTGGTGTCCTGTTGAATAGTCACTGGTTACTTCCCAAACATACTCAGCCTGGTGACTGAACTAGCCTATTTTTGGCATTCGCATAATACGTTGACCCAGAAAACAATCCAACTGGGTTTGCACAAGATAAGCCTTAAAAAACTAATCAAAGTTAGCAGAAGCCAAGGTTACCATGTGGCAGAAACTTATCTCATCCAGATAAAGATATCATCTAAACCAGTGTTTCTCAACCTTGGGAACTTGAAGATGTGAGGACTTCAACTCCCAGAATTCCCCAGCCAGCCTTTGGAGTTGAAGTCCACACATCTTCAAGTTCCCAAGGTTGAGAAACACTGATCTAAACCCAGCTCCTGTGACTTTTGTCTCTCACAGGCTGAACTTGAAGGTACAAATCCAATCTATATACAACTAAAACTCGCCTGTTTGTATGTAACTTTAACTGGGCCAAATAGTGCATCATAAGGTGACCATTTTTGAACCAAGATACCTCAAATGGGCTAACTTACCGAATGCATCCAAAATCTGGGACCCATGACTCCCGTGGAATTGACATTCAACAAATTTTATAAAACATTTTATGACATAAAAATGAACATAAAACATTTTCGGATGTAATACAAAATGTCATACAACATTTCCCGTGGTCAGCTTCTGAAGTTTGACTGTACTATGCAGTTTGAAATGAATGACATGGGCTATTTTCACGGCAGATACATCTCTGAATAGTTCCCTGATTTTTTAAGACCTTTTCCAGCGAAGGCAGCACATTAGAAGCTCTTCCCTTGCGGAAGGCCTTGAGGAATCTGGTAAAGAAATACCTCTGAAACGATGACGATGTAAATATCGTCTGAAACGATGTATGTAAATATCTCTGAAATGACGAAACGATGTCACAGGTTGTCTAGTCTTTGCTAAATATTTGTGCCTCCAGGTAATAGTTGGAGAATATCTGCTAGTCAAAGTCACAAGGGGAAACATGAGGAGACTTTCTTTTTAGGAAATGGACAGGGAGAACCTAATACTTTTAGACAGTGTTCTCACAACAGCATAAGCTAAAGTGCTAATTAATAAATAGGGCAGCATTTTTTTCCCTTCTGAATGCTCTGTTTTAATCAGACTCTGAGGCCCCCTTCTGAACCTGAAGCACATCACCCATTGGATATGCAGAAATGGACATGGTGATCTGATGAGGTGGCTCCATTGTTTGCAATATCTGAGGCTCTCTCCTAGACTTTTAATAATAATATTAATTTTTGTATTTGTCGAACGTTATTTAAAACTGTTTTTGTGGTTTGATTGTACGCCGTCCAGAGTCACGTTTCATGAAATGGGTGGCTATATAAATATGATAAATCAAATAAAATTATAGCCTCCAACAAGTCTGAATTGCAAATGTTGGTTTGTGCAAATCCCAGAGTGACCATTCCCAGGTTCAGAAGACTCAGTAAGACTCAGTAAGACTCAGACACAGGAAGATATTTCCTGTGGTCAACTCCTGATGCTTGACTGCGCTATACAGTTCAGTAGGAATGACAATGGGCTATTTCCAAGGCAGATACATGTCTCAGTTGCTCCCTGAATTTCTAAGACCTTTTCCAGTGACCACAGAGATAGATTTTCATCATCATCACCACCACCCCACAGATGTCTTGGTTGGTTCTTATCTCCCACTTCATCTCAAGCTAGCAGAAGATGATGGAACCAAACATTTTTGGAAAGAGCCAGATTGGAGAAGGCAGGTTAGCAAAATCTCCTCTGACCAGAGCAGAGGATGTGATTGTCTCTCTCCATTTTTCCAACAGATCAGCACCTTGGAAGAAAAAATTGTAAAGCAGGCAGTGGCCCTGGAAGATCACTCAGGGCCCAACGAGAGTCTCCGCCTCCAGATTGATGAACTGAGGGAGACGGTAGCCTGCCTCGACTCAGAGAACCAGGACTTACTCAAGGAGAACAAAGGCCTGAAAGATCAGCACAGGAGTCTCCAGGAGGTAGCGGATCAGTTTAAGATCAGAATGGAACACCTGCAGAAAATCGTGGAGGATGTCAGAGAAAGGATCGACTCTGCCAACATGATGGTCCGTCAAGTGGAGCTGCAGAACAAGACTTTGGTGAAAGCCCATGAAGAACTCAACAAGGAAATGCACGAGGTCACCATCCAAGTGGCCGTCTTCAAAGACTACAAGGCTGTCCAGGAGAAGGACCTCGAAGAGATGCGGACCCTTTCCTCAGAAGTTAAGAAGTACCTGCGGGGTCTGGAGGATCAACTGGCTGAGACGGAGCACGGCTACCATGTGGAGAGAAGCCATTCTGGCGAACTGAAGGAGAAAGTCACCACTCTCCTGAAACTCAGAGAAAAGCAGAGGAAGGACATCAAAGACCTGCAGAAGGAGCTGGAGACCCGCGTGCAACAGGCCACATTCTCGCGGCTGGACCAGGAGAACCGGGTGCAAATGGGCTCGCTGATGCATGAAGTAGTGGAGGCCCAGCTGGTGGGGGTGGCGCGGAACAGGTCAAAGAAAAGGAAAATCCTGCGCTGGGTATGGATGGCAGCCAAAATTCTGATGATGTTGGTGTTTGGCTGCTATGTCTTGCTCGGCCTGGTATTTGCATACGCTCGCTTTGTCAATCCGGAATTCATCTCTGAGACATTTCTGGCGTTCGTAAGCGAAGAGAACATTGAACGCATTGCTTACAGTTTCTCTCAGTACCTGAACTGGAGAAATGACGGCCTTCTACCATTTTGAACAACAAAAGGAATCCTTTCTTTCCCTTTGATTTTGATGTTAGAAATCTATGGATTTTAAAATATTGTAAAGAGTATGAGCAGATTGGTACAAGTTCTTTTTTTAATTACTGGAGTTTTTTTTTAAAAGCTAGCATATCTAATGCAGTACAGAAATAGCATATACAGGTAGTCCTCGACTTACAACCATTCATTTAATGACCATTCGAAGTTACAACGGTGCTGAAAAAAGTGACTTGCGACCGGTCCTTGCACTTACGAGTGTTGCAGCATCCCTTGGTCACATGATCGGAATCCAGGCACTTGGCAACTGGCGTGTATTTATAATGGTTGCAGCATCCCAAGGTCACGTGATCACCATTGGCAGCCTTCCCAGGGGATTTCCCACAAGCTAAGTCAATGTGGGAAGCTGGATTCGCTTAACGACCACGGCAAAAAAGGTAATAAAATCGGGCGTGACTCACTTAACGAACACATCACTTAGTGATGGAAGTTCCAGTCCCAATTGTGGTTGTAAGTCGAGGACTATTAGTAATATAGATTACTAATAATTAGTAATGTATATAATGTAATATAGATAGATAATATATATATTAAATATATATGTAATATATATTAGAGCTGGGTGAAATTGCAGTTCAAACATTTGATGAGAAATTCAGTTCAAATTTTCCAAATCTCACTGACTTCCTAAGTAAGATTGGATTGAACCAGATGGCTTGAAAATGGGGCCAAATTGATCCAACTGGATGCTTTGAACTGAAGCATCCAATCCAATTGATTTTCTCAATTGATGTAAAGGTCAATTAGATACAATTAATGATCTGAATCAAATTGATGATACAAATCAGATCAAAGGCAACCTGCACAGCCCTGATATACATGTTAAGAAATAACTAGCAATTGTTCCAAAAGTCAGTTTGTTCAAAAGGCTGCACATGTGTTGACATAAGGGCACCGGGTAAACACAGTCAAGATGGCAGCCATGACTGTACAAAGTCCCGCCCTTTATGTGTGATGCATGTCAAAAAGGGGTGGGGTTTTGATTGTGTGGCTACCATCTTGATTTTTTTGACACCACCCCCACCCCTTGGATGCCCCTGATGTCATAAATAGTTATTAAAAAATGCAAGCTTCCAACAGCAACATTTTGACTGCATTTTATATTCCAGTGTACTAGAAAATCTAGTTGTTGTTCGTTTCTGGGACCTGTGGGGCCTTTATAGCATTCTGTAAGCAGTGCAAACAGACCCCGTGCTTTTATGGTCACCGGACAGGTGAGGGATTGTGGTCATTGAAGCTGAATGCAGCAGGACAGCCCCATGATCGGCCAAGCTGATCTGCAGCAACCCCCAAATCTTAAGTTTGTATCAGAGCATGAAAGAAAAACAGACAGGACCGGAAGGAGAAATCTAAGCCAGAGAGCTGAAAGGACTAGGATATCAAAGAGGACAAAGGTGTTTTGTCTGGCTGTTTCAAACCAGAGCCCTATCTTATGTGACTGCACCGGCTGAGGACAGCTTCAAGACAGCCAGAAAAAGTCCTTCCCACTAGGGCCAGCTGATACGCAGACCAGCCTTCAGAAGATCCTTCAATGCCAGGAGTGTGCAGCTTTTCCCGAGGACCACACTTGGACCTGGAGAAGTTGCCTGAGTCCATCTCATGAAAGTAGGTGGAGACAGGGCAACGAAAAGGATGGGACCAGGAGAAGACTTTTGTCCGATTCTGTTTACCTAGAAGCGTAACTAAGAAGGCATGTGATCGAGTTGACTGTTGCTCATGTACCGAATATCTTCCTCCTGTTGGGTTACAGATTACAACTGGGGAAGGCCGTTTGGAGAGGCTTTTGAGGAGCACACTCAACATGGTTGACTTTTGAAGACTGCGTGAGTCTCAGCTCTTTGCTCTATATTGTCTTCAAAACCTAAGACAACCTCATTCTACATTCCAAGTGTGGCTGGAGGGGGTCTAATGCATAGAAATCCACCATGGGCTGGTATCCAGTTGTCACCAGAGGAACAGAAAGCAGATTACATATACTTTGGGGCCTGATCCAGCCTCAGGGCTCTTACTTATTATTATTTATTATAGTATTATCTTTGTATCCCACCTTTATTTTATACAAGGTAGTATAAATAATGCCCCTGCCTCCTATTTTCCCCACAACAACCCTGTGAGGTGGGTTGGGCTGGCCCCAAATCACCGAGCCATCTTTCAGACCTAAGGGAGGACTAGAATTCACAGCCTCCTGGTTTCTCTTCCAGGATTTTCACCCCTACCTCTTATGTTCTTAGAATCAGTACCCACATCCTGTTTTTGGTAGTGCGATTGTAAAACTACCCTCTGAATCTCCAGGATGGGAACTGACAACCACGTGGCTGTATTTGTGCCAGATGCTTAACCTACCTACTGAGTTAACTCATTTTTCTGGGTTGAGACATTTCACCAAGCCCTAACCTACTCAAACAGGCTGGATTTGCATAACGCAGAAAGCCACCGAAACAAAGAAATAAATAAAGTACCAACTCTAACCAAGACTTATGTGAACCATCCTTCAGAGGTGATGCCAATGTATTGCATCTGATTAAGCACATTGCTGGCAGAGCCACGGAATAATACGTTGCATTGCTGATTTATTTATATAGACCACCAGGGGGCAGCACATGACTGATGTTCTACTTTGGGACTCATCAGATGTATGCTGCCAGGTCTTCTTCTATAGCAGGGGGGTCACCCTCCACCACAATCCTTATAGAGATGTGGTTGCTTTCGCGGGGGGGTGAGGCCCACATATCGA